AAGCACAGTAGAAGACAAAATTGACATATGTAAAATAAAAAGTTGTGGTTTGCATTTCATACACAGTCCCCTCCAAAATATCATTATTTAAAAGATATTAAAAGAGACACACTCGTGATGCTGGCATTTTTAGAGGTTCAGAAGGCAGAGCATGCAAAATTAATTGCTTTTGGAGATAAGATCCCTAAATCTGTATTTAGACACATAAGCCAAGGAGTTAGTGCATAGACTCTGCAGACTCCTTTTAAGGCCACATTTTGTATCATTTTAATCTTAGCCTAAATATAAATATAAAATGAACAAATCATTTTTAGTCCTGGTGTTTGCAAACTTATCACCCAGTAGTGTTACCTTCTGCACAATCTTCTTCTAGAGGTGGCCAATCAGCCCAGGGAAGAAGCAGAATCCCAGCAAAAGCCCTGTCCCACCCCCTTCCTTCAGGCATGTGCAGACCAGAAAGCAGCCCCAGCAACACAAAAACACAGGGAAAACACTCTGGAGGAATCTGATTTTCCCTCTGCAGTGCACAGCAACTTTCCTAAACAGCCTAGAGAAAAGGCAGAAGTTCAGCCAACAGATCAACTTTGCAGACTGAGATGATTCCCTCACTGCAGGGAAGAGCTGCCTCTGGGATAAAATGTTATCATCCATCAGCTCTAGCATGCATTGCCAAAAAAGGCACAAAAAATCATATTGCAATGGTCTTAACAACTGACAAATAGTTTCACGTATTATCTCTGAATTTATCTCTCCAAAAAGAACTGTGAAATCTTTGTGAACACTGATGAAGGGGAGGTGGGGTGATGTGGACAGAGCATGTGCAAGGCAATTTGTCTGCAAGGCTACAGCAGAACTTGTTTATGTGAGCACTTTAAACCCACTTGGGCTTTGAGTCATACCTTCATATACAACACACACAAAGTTGTGCTTTTCCCACTTCCTTTCTCTGAGCAGGTACACAGGAATCTCTGAGCAGCAGTGCCAATCTTGCATTTGCAGCACCACGGGGTAAATGCCGTATTATCCTCAATCCACTGCTCATGCAGACCAGGCAGCAAATCGTGAACAGTGCAGGTGAACTTCTAGCCTGCATTCACCAAGGCTTGAAAACATGCAAGTCACATTCTCCTGTTCTTACACTTGAAATACAGGAGGCACACAGCAAACAGCACAGCAAGGAGCAGCACCAAGGTACTTGCTGCCTGCACAGGAAATAAAGTGGGACATAGAATGAGGGACTAGAACATGCTCCACTCATCCACAGGACTGCTTTTCTCACCACAGCACTCGCTCCCTTGGGCCCAGCCAGATTTACGATCAGTGGCAAGTTCTTGGACTGTGTGTGAATGTTTGTCTGTGTAGATCAACGTGTCAAAATATCATCCAGAAACAGTCCCTTTGGCCCACACTTCCACAGGCTGGAGGCCAGGTCATAGTAATAGCTTGAATCTCCCTTCTTCCCCAATATGTCATTAATGAGAACTCCTCCCTGGCCATTTGAGAGAGCAGGAGTTTTTTGAAGATAAAAAAGTTCACATGCCAGCAGCATGTGAACACCAAAAAGCGTGTAAAACAATTGTTTTACAGAGTTCTAAAATGTCAGGCTACAAGAAGGTTAGTAATTTAGCATTTTAAAATGCTATTAGGATTTTGGACAGGAACTGATGACTCCTGATAAAATTTCTTTCAGTTTTCTTTCAGTTACTTCCTCTGGATGGACCCACTTCCTATCTGCTCCCCTAAGTAAAGTAATTGCATTTTCCACATTTGTTATTAAATTCCTTCTGTTCATATAAGTTCTGCCGTGTGCTCAATAAACTTTTATTTGGTGCCAAACCACTGAGTGCACCCCAGAGCACAAACTCACACCAAAATGTACCCATAACATAGAACTGTACATTGCTTACAAAAGCACTTTATTTTTCTCTCTCACACACATCAGAAGGTCGTGTTTGAGAAGATGAAAGTTTCCCTTGGAGCACTGCATTCATGACACGGGACAGGATGTTTCTAGCACAAGTTCTCCTGATGCTGAGTTGACATCTTCCTTGTTATGACTGCAAATTCCTATCACTGTAAACCTCACTGATAACTCAGGAGAAAAAAAGCAAACAAAAAAAGCAAAAAGAAAGGGAGAATGAAACCCTTTCAGCTGCAGTGTCTGTAAAGACACTGTGATACACAAAATGTCTCAAATTTAAAAGCAAAGCAGTAACCACTGGAGAAATAAAAAATGAGTTTTTCATTTCTAACTGCAAGTACTTGGGGACAATGAACAGACAGAATATTGTATGTAATCAAAGAAACTGCCTTTTTAAAAAACAACCTTATTCTGCATTGTTTGGGGAAACACTGTTGAACATGACATCATGCACATGCATCTATGGACAAATACAGTCATATTTTCAGTGAACTGAGCAAAACAAATGGATTAATTCTCTACAGATATATCTAAATTATGAGGGCATCACAAACATTTACAGATGCATTTTAATTGTCTTCCACCTAAGTCTGTTAAAATAAAGACATTTCTCATTTATTTCAAATTAAAGTATGCCTGCCCTACTGCTTCTGATAGCTGAATCTTGGTATACCTCTAACCGTGGCATTTATTCCAGGAAAACCACTGTAAATGTTACCCCCAAAATATCTATCAAAAAGCTTTATTGTCTATACAAAATATTTATTTAAATGATACAGAACACTCTTTCCTATGTCAGCATTAAACACCTAACTATTTGAATAATCAAAAAATTTCCCAGGAACAGCTTCAGGGTAGAGCACAAACCAGTATCTTTGCTACGGTATTTACCTTAAACCTCTATCTAAGGAGAGCAGCACAGAGACTGTTTCTACACTCACATGCCTATTATGCCTTTGACTCTGAATGTAGTTTCCTAGCTGTGCTGAGCTCAACTCCCCAGCATATTTCCTACACAGGCAATTTTGGTCCAATTGAGTCATGAATCCCAGTGTATATCACTGTGGGAAGAAGAATCACTGGCTCTGCCTTTTCACACCACAGCACAAGTGCTGTAGCCCCTGTGAATTGGAATAAGAACCTAGTTTAAACTCTTTTTAAACTGAAATTTATCTGGTCTCAAAGTAGTCTCTAAGAGAGAAGCTGGAGTTCTCCTGCTGCTTCCCAGCATTCTGCCCAGGCAGGGTCAGGGAGAGAAGACAGGAGAGAGGATTTGGTAAAACTAAAGTCACTGGAAATAAGAAATCATGATGCAAGGAAATCAGCACACGTGTGTAACAGGTAATAGTATTTTCAAAACCTCTGAAAAAAGTTACATCTGATCACCGTTTCAAAGCACTGCAGGTGGCAAGCACCACTTTTGTGATCTTTTGGCAGCAAGAAAAATCAATACCACTCAGTGTGGAAATGCCAGCAGAAATGCTCAAAAAATCTTAATATTTTAACAATTCCAAGTTCTGAGGGACTCTTATTTGAAAATAGTTGCTGCAACTATTTAATTTTTTTCCATTTTTTTAATGCTAAACTCCATTCCTTTGTGCCCCCAACTGCAGGGGCAGCGAAAGGGACTGCAATAACAGTAAAAATATATGAAATTGATTTTTATTGTTCTATCTAAAGGAAACTCTTTTCTACTTAATAACAACAGCATTATAAACTGCAACTGCAGAGATGTTTTGAAATTACAGTTTAAATAGTATCATTAAGACATGCTTTACTGATGTGCTCTTAAGGCAGACATAAAATGAAGCTGTATCTTTAAATGCTCTCTACAGCACCAAATGTTACTAAAAAAGCAAAACCAATTTCCATAATTTCCCTATGTCTCATAAAAATGTTTTGAATTTAGCAGAACATTAATTTGTAGGAGATAAGGCAAGACAAACCGTTTAGTATGGTCCAAAGGAAAAAAAACAAACCATAAAACTTAAGAGACCTTGAGAATCCTTTCAGCAGAGCTAAAAAGGCAGTCTAGACTAGATAACGCCACCAGAACCAGGATCACCAGATCTTCAGAAATGGAGACTACCGAAAGTGGAAGACAGTGTACAGAGACCAAAATGTAATTTTTCTAGCATAAAGTTTCCTTTCCCCAGTTGTCATGGAATATGTAAAACACACTACTTCTGTGTTCATACCCATGCACTTCCCCTCCTTCAGAAATGATGTCCTCAGGCGGCCCCTTCTTTTTAAGCTGTCATGTGAAAAGGATAAAAATCAAGAACCACATGTCACTTTTAAGTTTTCAGAAATCCTATAAAATATTACAAACAACCAATTTGTGTTTCTTTTGCTTTTAATATTCCTGCCTGCTTACAAATATGCCTATAAATCTAATTGGACACCATGACATCGGTAAAAGAAAATGCTTGAAATTAATCTAATAGACTGCTGCATTAGAAACTTAAAACAATACACCCTTTCCATAAATAATACAGAACATTATTGCCCTCCTTTAAATGAAAGCACTTCAGACATTGTTTGCCAGAAAAATTCACCTTTTCAACTTCAGCATGGTTCAGGCTTTTCTCTGTCTTCACATAATCCCTTATAGCAGAGGGAGGTTGGTCAGGAACACAAAACTCCCTTTAGTTATATTGTTACTCCAATAAACCTCACCTAGCCCACTAAGTTTTAATCCTGATTTGGCAACAGCTAGTTGGTGATAAAGGCAATTCTTCTTTTTGACACACACTTTGACAGCCTGTTCAAAAATTCACTTTTTTTAGCATGAAAGTACTCAAAAGCTGAAGTTTGTTCTTCTATTGCCCCTCCAAAAAGATGTCTCTGCTGTACTGAAAAGGAAAGGTTAGGCCATGGATTCAAAGTAGCTGTCAAGAAACACAAACATAAAGTTGACTTAATAGCGTTATTAGGAAATGCGTTCTGGGCCCACCCTTGGCAGTAACACCAGGGTTAACTCAAGTTGTAGCAATATTTAAAACAGCTCTTCAATTTTCCTTCTCCACCCAACTAAACAACAGAAAATCTTGTCAATAAATGAAAAACACCACACGTATTTAAGTGAGAGAAACCATCTAAACTTCCAACATTTTTCATCCTCATTTTTTTTTTAATCCAAAAGATTTGTACAGCATTTTTAAAAAATAACTTACAGGATCAAAAGGAAAATAAATGCATAGCTTTAAATCCTTAGAATACAACCTCCCCCTGTCGTGGAAGAGTTCAAAGTCATAAAGTGCTGCAGATATGACCACACATCAGACAAATAATCTAGTAACTAACTTATTTTTCTGGTTTATTTAACAATATTCCAGGCTTAGAACATTAAATAAAAAAATCTCACAGACAATGGATAAGACTAACAATGGTTTTGCTCTTTTTTTTTTTTCTCTTTTTCTTCTCCTTTTTTTAAAAGAATGCTGAGACACATCAATTGAACCGACTACAATTTTATTTTGGATACCAAAAAATAAAAAGAAGCTGGAAGGAAGAGAGTAGTGCATTGCACTGATCTCAGTAAAACTGCTTGTAAGCATCGCTGTTTACGTTCAGCCCTAGGAGGATGAAGATGGATACTGCCAACAGGGGAAGGCCAAGTGCAGACCAAGGGTGCTCTGAGCTTTGCCTAGATTGTGAGGGCACAGCTTTAAATTATGCTCATGTATGTATGCTCAATTATATAAGATAAGATCCAGCAGATTTTGTGTAGGTCCTGGAGGGAGGGCTTGCAGTGGTGGTAACAGCTGATGCAATTGATGACCATAGAAACCAAGAGCTCTTCCTGGGTGTCACAGGAGCTCAGGTATCTTGCTCCCTTCCATAATTTGATTTTGTTGCCCTCACAGATAGCCTACATACTTGTGGGATTTTAGGTCAAGCCTGTGTTTTGCACCTTGGAAAACATAACACCTCTTTAGTGGACATCGAGAATAGCAACATTCAATAGGATGCACAGTGAGTGTACAAGTGCAAATTAGTTTTCAGGAGGCTGGAAAGTGAAACCCCAGGCTTACTAATAGCCAAATACAGGCTCCACCATCTGCTGACTGCATTTTTCCCAGGCTTAAAAAATTCCATTTATGTAGTTGCAATTACTTACTTCACTGTTCCTTCAGCCTAACCTCTGTTCTTCCTCCTCACTCACCCATCCCTTCCCACCACCTACAAAGAACACAGGGGCCTCAAACTTCAAAAGCGATTAAACCAAACCATAAACAAACAGTTTGGCAATAGATTCAATTCCATTGCCATTCTCATTTCTGTATGTTCCTGCTGTCTGTGCCCTTTTTACAACCCAATGTCCATGGGTGCCACAGTGTGAAAAAACCCCAACTTTCTTCCTCCAGAAGAGTAACAGACAGATATTGCTCAACATAGTTGTAGACTTAACACAGAGGTGGGGGGGGGTGAGACACCAGTAACAGAAATAAAACCCCAAGCAAACCTTGATTGTAACTGGAAAATGCCAAGAGTCCTCCACAGCATCTCAGAAAAAAAATGTGGTGCATCCAACTTTGTGTCTAGCGTGAACTCTGATCATGTTTGACTGCAGTATTTCACAAGAGATGCGGGGTGGGGGGGGAGGTGTCTCAGGTTGGTTTCCTTTCTTTTTACTTGTTTGTCAAGTTCTCAAAAGGGCTTAAAAAACTTATGCTTGGAGACACAAAGGGAGCAGTTACAATATACAACTAATCGGAAACAGTACTCAAACATTAGACTGGAAAGGACCAAAGTCCACTCTACAAACTGAATCGAAAAGAGACAGGTGAAAAAAAGTTATTAAGTGCTAACATAACAAAAAAACAATTTTAAAGATTCACTAAATACATCAGAGAAAATGGAGGGGTCCCCTTCTTTTAAATATATTTACATAATATTAAAGCTTTTTATTTTGCTTTTCTTGCCAACAAAATATTCTAGCTACCCTGGGCAAAGACCCCATAAAATGAAGAGGTTAAGGATTTTATAACACAGACAAACCGTTAGACCCGTGGCCTGTAGACGTCTCCCTGCCCTCTCCTTCCCTCTCTCCCTTAACCAAAGTGCTGATGCCTTGACTGCTACACACCACATGGCATCAGCACAAGGTCAAGGTAACACAACACGGTCTCAACCCCACACTTGGTTCCCACTTTGCAAAAGCACAAGAGACTACAATCAGGGCTTGCTTAGACACAAAGCAAAACAAACAAGAAACCAATTTTGCCATTTAGCTGCAGTTAAATGGTAAAACCGGACTAATGTGGACACAGTAATACCAGTTTAAGTGTTTATACCATTTACACAGCACTGGAAAGGAAAATAAATTATCCTGGTATAAATGCATCCACACTACAGCCTATGCCAGCACAGTATCAGTTAAAATAATAACACATCAGTCTCTTAACCAACAGAATTATACCAGCTGAACTTTTCTAGCATAGACCAGACCTAAGACATGAGGTAGTGAAAATCAGGCTCAAGATTTTTTTCATTCCATACCAACAATATATTCTAAAAATATTCACTGCTCAGATCTATGGATTTTAAAAAACATTTTAAAATCCAAAATTTAAAGCTATCATCCTGAGTCACACAGGATTTACAAATGGAGGCATAAATTTTAAAAACTTCCTCAAGGTCCTAACTCAGGAAAATAATTTTATGATAGAAAGCACATAAGCATGTGTTTGTCTCCTAATGAAACAAGTGGAAAGGAAGCACATGGATAAGTGCTTTCTGAAATCTGGGCCACAGTCAGAAACCACGGTCTTTGTAGAATTTATTTCCTCATTAATTTCAGTGCTGTTTGATCACAAGTCATTCATGTTTTAAGACAGTGGGAAAAACACAGACAATGGAAGCTAAATCAAGTTTGTTACAACAGTTCAATATTTACAGCATTCATAGCATAAAACAGAAGAATTTTTGGTAACTTAAGACAAATACCTCTTTTCTTTGTCATTAAATGTACCGCAGCAGTCCTGTTAAACAAACCCACTGTCTCGAATATTAAAGAAATTATTGTTTATGTTTACCGAGTCATTTAAATTAAAAATCTGTTCCTGTTCCAAACCCCACTCTCCTTCATCTTCGTCCTCCGGTTCTGCCTCAGACCCATTGCGACTGTTCTCATACAAAAAGATCTGCTCATCCACATGAGCTGGGGCTAACCGGTTTCTCTTTGCACTCACAACATTAGCAGAAGAACCAAAAAGGCGTTCAGGGAAGACCCTCGTGGCCAGAATACACCAGTATTTTTGAAGAACCTTTGGTAAAACTGGAAACAGTGCTAGTCTGTCAGACCACCACTTCAACGGGTCTTCATTCAAACCAAGGACCTTTTGTGACTTGAAGTTGCTCAACTCCTCAACGATTTGAGCATGCCATTCCTCCTGGTCTTCCACGCCTCCTGTCTGGCAAAAGATCTCTGCAAGCATGTTGTTGATGACACTAGTAGGAGGAGGAGTAGAGGAGATGATGATTTTTTTCATAGGGGGCTCTTCTGAAACAGTGAAGAATTTCTCCTCAGTTCTAAAGCTATTTTCTTTTACTTTCTCCAGCAGGCTTTTTGCTTCTTCCACCACTCTGTTTTCCACCTGCTGCCTCTCAAAGGCTGAAAGAAAAGGCAGTTTCTTGTAGCGGGGATCCAAGAAAGTTGCAACATTGAGAAACATGTCTATCTCAGGTGTGTGCTGGTAGGTGGTTGACAACTCTTTAGCAATCACCTCCTTTGCCATGCTGATTTCTTTCAAATCGTTCTCTTTGATGTTCAGAGTTGTATTCAGAAGCATATGGAGAAGTGGTTTCACCATGCTTATCGTCGGGTACTTGGAAGCAGACATCATCTCTGCAACCTGCTTGAAAGGCTGGAGCAGCTCCACCAGCCCTTCGATTGTATTCCACTCACTGGATTCCAGCATGAGGTGGTGGTTGTTGCTGTCCTCCACGAGAACAGCCGCAATGACAAACTGCTGCTCCTTGAGGCGCTGCAGCATAGCGAGCGTGCTTCCCCACCAGGAAACACGGTCACTTACCAGCATGCAGTGGAGAATATTCTGCTGCTTCTGCTTTTCGCTCAGCATGTACATTGCGACCGTAGACTGCTGAAAATACTCCACCAGCTTTCGGCACCTGGCAAGAAGGTTGCAGAGTTTGGGGAGCTGAAAAGCTTGTTGTATTCCTGCATTGAAAGTGTGGCCCAAACAAGGCATCTGTACGGGAATATCTAGGAGAGAGCAAGCTTTTACAATGTCTTTACTGTAATCTGTTGTAGCACCAAACACTTTTGTATTGATCCCCCACTCAATAAATGTTTCATAAAGGACTCTTGTAATGGTCTCTGCAGTGTTATCCTCTGGTACTTCAAAAGTTTTCAAACACCGCGAGTTCACAGCCAGGCAGTTGGCAGGACTGCTGCTGAGAAAGTGAACCGCCACGGTTACATACGACCTGTTCTGGTTTTCACTCCTCCACATGTCTGTGGATATGCCACACCACAGAACCTCAGTCAGCTCTTTCAGCACAATTTCTCTAATAGCACTGTACTTTTCAGGAATCGCTTTTGTACAGAAGTACTTCCGGCTCGGAAGTTCATACCTGGGGTCCGCTGTTCTCAAGAGGGCCTTGAAGGTAGGTTCATCAACGATGGAGGCTGGATACATGCCCTCACAAATTAAGCTGATGACTGCAGATGTTAGCTCCTGATGTTTTTTGTTTTCATAGTTCTGGTAGGTCTTCATAATGAGGCTATCTTGAACAACCTGCTGTGATGACTCCGGCTTGATTTTTGAAAATGCTGTGGCAAAGGCTTCCCTCATTTGCTCAGTGTTACTTTTCACAAACTCACAGAATTCATCGGGGTGGTTTTTCTCAAGGTGGTAGGAAAGGTTGGACGTGTTTCCTGAATAGGCAATCTGTGCCATGCAAATACGGCAGTAGATCTTCTTCCACTGTAATATGCATCCTTCCGCATTGGTATCAAACCCAAAGTACTTCCACACTTTACTCTTTGCTCTCGGATGAGCCACTAACTTTAGGTCAGATGGGGAACCTTCTAAACTTTTATTCTCCATTGCTTCTTGGCCACCGTCCCACCTTTTGATCCTTCACTCATTAATGAGTACCTGATAAAGGCAGTAAGATAAAGATACAATGAGAAAGCACAAGTTTGACCACACTCAACTACGTGAAATCAGCGTTTCTGTGAAAGTATCAAGAAACCTACTCACTAATTATATCTGCAAATTTAAAGATGAAATTTTCAGGAAGTGTGACCTACAAGAAGCCCATTGGATTATCAGAAATTAAAAGAGGTTTTAAAACAGCCCATTATTCTGCAAAACTGAGCTAGAAGATCCGAGTAAATATTTTTTTCTGGAATTTCCTAATTCTGGGTAAAGAAAGTGTAACCACCACCACAGACTTGATAAATTACTGTCACAAAAATTGGTCATATGCTATAGCATTTTCCTGCTTCTTTAGTTAGAACTAGACCAACATCCTCTTGCCTAAGAATTACTGAACTTTGCTGTTAACATTTATTCCAATTGAAACCTGATACTGAAGGAGCAAAGGTTTTCTTATTTGTTTATTTTGAAAGAAGTTTTGTTAGTTTGATCTAACCGTTCCAGCTTTTGCTTTAAAAAAAAAAACATAATAAAGAATCTGTGATGCAAATTACGGCAATAATCTGCTCCTCTCAAATGTAAAGATGTTTTTGGACTGAAATATAAGGTAAAGAAGCTTGAACCTACATGCAGATAAACAATACGTGTCTGACACCTATCCCTTCCTCTTTCTGAAATCAAAGGCATCTCCTGAAGTACTAGTTCACAACCATGGTTCCTGGAATAACAGTGTATTATAATTACAGGAAAAGCAGACAGGGAAGCACTAATAAATGTTAATATCCACATCAGCTGGAAAATAATTTTGCTGCATTTTCTTCAAAAGGCTACAGAAGGGAGCCTTTGAGAGGGGATGACACTAGAGATGAGTGTGGTGATAAGGCAAGTTGGCAATCTGTATCTTGATATCTGCACAGGAAAACACTTCTTGCGCAGGCACATGCAACTGCAACTTGAGGCCTACAGTGCCTCTGTGAACAGTGCTGGCAGCTGGCACCCACCAGAACTGATCTCACTACACCAAAAAGCCAAGTCATAGCACAGTACAATTGCACCCTGACACTTCTCTATTTCTTCCACATCACCATGACAGTAACAAGCCCTTTTCCAGGGCCTTGGGGAGCATTGGGAAGGAGAAGGAAGATATTAGTTAGACATGGATGCAGCCCCCTTCACAAAAATCCAGAGAAAGAGAACAGGAGAGGAACATGAGGAGCATTAGACTGAAAAAAATAGCATTGCTACTTCTCTGCTCTTCAGGAGCTGCACCTGTGCCCAAGCCCAGAAATCCTCAGGTGGTAAGACTGGCTGGTTAGGGCAGGAAGAACTGACTTTTTCATATTGCTGCAAGGGAATATTAAAAAAAAAAAAAAGAAAAAAAAAGTACATGTGCAAGCTTCTCTGGGATGCTTTCTGCTGTTGGTGAATATTTGCAAGGAAAGACAGTTTTCCCTCTGAACTACAGCTGGTATTTTGCAACATTTTCTGAAGTCTTGAATGGAAAACCAAAGACAGGTTAACCAATACTAAACATACTTATCTAAACACAGCTGTTGGTTTAGAAGCAGAATGAGAGATGCAGGGCAAGCATTTTATTGGATTTGTTCTTAAGATTTACTTCTGGGTGTAGACACTTCGCATTTTTTTCCTGAGGGAGGGGCAATGTTCTGCCTACTAGCATGCCTTCTACTGTGATTCATTCTGTGCCTTTAAGTTGCCAGGATAAACTATTGATTCAACATGGTAATGCTGCCTAATTCCAAACATGTGCATATCAACAGCACCAAGGTATGCAATCCCACAAAAACTGATGATTTTGAAAGACCAAGTGGTGTAATGTGTAATGAAGTAACCCTGACATGCCATCAGATAGCGCACTAACATATCATATCGATACAAATCATCATAGCTTTTAGACTCCTCTGTTTCAATCCACGACATGGTGTCTCCTGGAAGCACAGAGGGTCATGGCATTTCATTAAATCTTATAGTTTCCTCTGCAGTTACCTGGCAATTCCTGAAAGTAAAGAGGAAGGCACTGAAATAAAAGAGTTGATGCATCTTTAATATTTAAAATTAGTATGACACACCTCAGATCATAAAAAGTTCATCACCAACTGACAAAGTAGAAGTTATTTCAGATTTATGGGAGTGTTACAGACTCACCCCACTCTTCATTCTGTATGTATGTCACAGCTTTGCTTTCATTTTGTGATATATCAGGCACTTGGCAATAGTGGCCCAGAGTAGCATTGCCACAGCTAAGGATATGCCAGTATAATACAGCCTTTAGTAAAAGCTCAAACTTCCCATCATCTCTGCCTCTCATCAAGTGTTATACAGCATAACTGGTATTACAAACACAAATCAAAAACCCCACACCTCTCATTTTACTTCAAGAAGAGGTAAACTTTTCCACTTTCAGTGGAACAGTGTTCATAGTCTAGTCCTGGCAAAATCAACAGCAATCCTGAATTCCCACCCACAGGAGAGAACCTCTGGAGAAGCTGCTGTTTCTTTCCCTTGCCTCCTCCATGCAGCTGGCCAACACCACCAGTACTGGGACCAAGGCTTCTAAGAGCTGGCAGAGAGGATCAGTTCTGTGGGCTTTGCAGTGAACTCTGCTGCCACAGGAGGAGGAAGAGTCCAGACTTTCTGGCCCTAGCACCTCATCCCTGCTGCTCTTGGGGCAGGCTGTGCTGTCTCCTCTCGCTTCTCAGACCCCCTGTCTCATTCTCCTAACATAAACCCATGACTTCCCTGTCCAGAGCAGGCCTTGGGCTAAAAGATTAATGCTAGCATTGACTTGTGTCGTGGAGCACAGCCATGCTACCCTTGCAGGCAGGGCTCAGCTTCAAAATTGCTCCAAAACCAGCATGACAGTCACTTGGATTGTGAGACAAAGCGTGGGGATGTGAGAAAATGTGGGGTGTGCAGACACCCTACAGCCTCGCCTCTGCCTCCCAGTGCATGCACAGCAATGGTACCCTGTGAGTATCCTCGTCCCACAGCCTCTGCCTCAGTCAGCAGAGGGGCAACCATAAAGCAAGTGATTCCTCATCCTGAAACTAACTTAACAACATTTTTAGGGGCATGCGTGGGGAGAGGGTTTAACTGCTTGATGCAACTGCATTTTTGCCTGCCATCAATCCTTCCTACTTGGTCAGTTCTCTACCCACCTCTGGATGATTTACAACCTGGAGCTCACACAACTTAGAGCAGGAAGTGCTCTCACTACGCTTTGCTCCTATAAAGAACCCTCAAAATATGAATCAAAATTAAGAGATGCATGATCCTAAATCAACATTTCACAATTAACTGTAAAGAAACTTGGTACAAATGAGGATATTGAGTAACTAGAAATTGAGGAAATAAAAAAAAGTATGAAATTTCAGTCACTTTTAAAAAGAACAGGAGTCACCTTTTAGGTCTCTTTAACTTAATCCACATAACCATTATCTTCAGATACAGTTTTCTACACATTACAGGCATTACAGGTTCCAAATTTAACTACAAAGACTTCAAAAGTACTACATAACACTCAGGATTTAGGTTTCCCCTACAAAATTTCAATTAAGTATGTACAGTAGAAGAAAAAATGCAGGAGGAAGATGCCAAATAAATTCCCTGAGAAGATTTTAATTATATGAACCATTTTTCTTATCAGTAGAATGACTTTTGGTGATCACATTTCCACTGGTAATATCCTGGTGTCACAATTAATATTAGTTTATCTTTTATCAATCCACTGATTAGATTTGTGTTTTTAAAAAACTGTTTTAATCAAGAACTTTAGTCATGCAGGGCTTTTTTCCTCCTTCCAATTAATCAAGATTAAGCACTGCAAAGAAGTCCAAGCAGTAATTTCTAAGAAAATTATTAATAATTTAAACCACTGAACAATAAAACTACATATTAGCAGTTATACTGTTTATGCAATTATTACTTGGAGAAATATTTTTAAGTTTAACTGAAGTTCCCCTTTATTTCTGCACTTTCTTCTATGTTGATTTTAGTTAGTGAAGCAATCGCTGACTGCACACCCTGTATGTAGTTTCAGCTCTGTATTTTCCTTCCCTGAGCTTCAAGATCAGAATTTCAGGTGAACTTCCCTACTCTGTGTCGGGAATATTCACTTGAATAGAGAATGTTACCATTTTTTCAGCTTGCAACGCAAAACAATTACCAAGTTTTTGTACTGAACCTAGATTTCAGACCTCAAACTCTTTCCCCAAAAAAAGTCTTGAATTCCATCAATAAAAAGCAGATTAACTTTAGTAGGATGTGAAAGAATACATGGGTTACTTTTAAAAGAACACGTGCCAAGAGCACGCAACTCTTAAGTTAGAATAAGGAAAAATAAAAGTGAAACTAGTTTTGTTTACTTGGATTAAATTCCTGAGCACTTCTTCACAAGGATAAGAAACCAAGTTTTTCTTGGAAAATTAAGAGGCAGAAGGGCTGCACTGAGACCTTTCACTCATCCACAGAGCTAAAGGACAAGCCAGCAGACATGTCCCTCTTTTAAATCTTCCAAGAGATATCTGCAGCGCTGCTGCACAGAGAGTGGGAACTCTGAGATGGAAAGTGGGGCCAAGGAAGCCAAGATCAGAGGAATGGCTATCTCTATCTCCCTGTCCTGTCCTTCCCAGCTCCCCTTTGCCACTCCAAGCTCATCCCAGGAAGGCACTCTGACAATAAAATGCCTTCACTTTTGAGAGTTACGGACAACCCCTCAAAAAGATACAGAAAATTTTAAACATGCACACCTAGATTACCATCTGAAAAAGCTACTCAGGGTTTTCTTACAGGAACTGTAGTTTACTGATTCAAATTTGTTATAACAAGAGTTTTGCTTTTTGTTGCACTGACATCACTATTTTGAAGTTAATAATGGTTCAGCTGGGGAAAAGGGTTCCAGTTGTTAAGGTGAATCACTTTAAACAACAGCTGGACACAGCGAGTGAAAGCAAGGCAGCAGGTAACTGCCAAGAGGGAACTGCGTACGAACAACTAGCTGAGGAAGAAACCACTTGCCCTTGGAAAAAAAACATCCCAAGTCAGGGCTCAAAGAAAACTTTTCACATCTGTCAAATCTGCCTTGTTCCCACTTAGGCAAGTGACATTTCCTAGGTTGGATCTTTGTTGCCTTTCCCTGGCATTTCCAAATTCAACACTTTTTTTTTTCAATAGCAGCAAAGAGCACAGTGCAACAAAACACTGGGTCACACTTTCGTCATGCTGTTTCTCTGTGGTTCGAAAAAAGATCTGGAAAGTGTTACACACCCTAGGCAAAATACCCAAATTTCCTCTGCCAAGAAACGCTAATGCTAGAAAAACGCTCAGATGACTTCAAACCATATGCACATCTACCGTTTTTGTCACCAGGGTCCTCTCATTTGTTTGAGGGTTTCATTGCTGCCTTTTGAGAATGAGAAAAGGAATCCCAGCAGAAGAATCAGGAATGAAAAAAAAGTAGACAAAACACTACCCAGGGATGTGACATGTGATAAAATGAACAAATAAGCTCCTAATGTGTGGTGTACTTCTTCCATCACCTTCCTAGTACTTTAGATACTCTCTATACCAATGTTCTCATCTGCCTGAATTCCTTACTGAAACACTAGGCCCTTGCAATATTACTTTTTTTACTGCTCCTCTAGTTAAAACTATCGACAGGACCACAAAGGCTCACTTGCTGATAAAGAGCAAAAGTTAAAGGCATGGACATCAATGCAGCTATATGGTCAGCTCTGACGATAACATCTGCCCAAACTCACAGTTTGCTCTAAGTCTGTAAGTTTAGAAACACTTTACTTTTCAAGAGTAATGTAAGCAGATCATTCTTTTTCTGACAAAGTTTCCCCTAAGTCAGCATTTATCACGCTGTTGATCCAAATCAGAAAAGTGCAAAAACCTAACTTCTCAAATCCACAACTAACCTGACCGTCCCTTAGAAAAAACTACAAGTGTCACTCACTTGTCAGCTTATAGGCTATCAGCGACTGTCAGACGGTATCAAATACTAAGCTTCTGGAGTACAGGTATGTTCCCCTTCTGAAGCAGCCGGGACAGGGAAGCCGAAAGCGGCGGTCCCGGTGGGGTGGTGGCACAGCGGGCGGCGGTGGCAGGAGCGCCCGGGTCGGGGAAGGCTGCCCGCCGCTACCCGCCTTCCAAGCACCTACCTGGGCTGAGGGAGGGAGCGCCCGCGCGGCTCTGAGCCGAGTCTCAGGAGACACTGTCAGAGAGCCAAAGAGAGGAAGAGGAGAAGCGGGGACCCCCGGCCCACGGAGCCCCCACGCCGCCTCCCGAGGCCACAAGTCAGGCCGGCGTGCAGCCAGGCGCCCGTCCCGGGCCCGGCCGC